GTGGGCAGGGGATTCTCGCAGCTTGAAGGGATATAGTTTGAAGAAACATTTAGCTATGTGGTTAAAGTCATAAATATTAAGGTGGGGCTATCCCGTTCAATATATTTATATATATATATATATATGAATACATTCTTCCATAGTTTTCTACAAGAGGAGGTGTACATGAGTCAACCTCCTAGATTAAATTGATCCTAAGTATCTTCATCATGTGTGTCTACCTAAAAATGCATTGTATGGTCTTAAACAAGCACCAAAAACATGATTTTATAGGTTTAGCATATATTTCTGTAATTATCTGGTCGGTCATTCTTAAAAAGTTTCTAAATCTACCATTTTGACCCTCCCGTTATCGACCTTGAGTTATTGTTGATTGAGTTTGAAGCGATGGTTTTGAAATTGAGTTAAAAATTTAGAATCTAGTAAGTTTGTGAGTTTTGAAGGCTAAGTTGTTAAGAAAGTTATTTTTAGAGTGTTTTGGAGTTTTGAGTCTCAGAATAAAATCGCGTCGGTTCTATCAGTCTCGAACAGGTCCAAGCAAGTTGACATGTTTACTTATGTAGAGTTAAAGAGTCATATTAGGACTAGACTGCTAAATCCTAACTTATGTACGATTACTAGGATAAGGTATTGTAGTAATAGTAAACCTATACTACTCATGTAAATTATAATTTTATATTGTAGTAGAATTCCAAGTGTAGCTAGTAAGAGAATCTTTTCCTTTATAAAGATCACGCACTCAATAACTTTATTTGCTAATAAATTCATTGATTACTCTAAACCTAACGTTAGCTCTTTGCACTTGTGGCATACATAATTGTTGATAGTAGATAGAAAAAGCAAATACTTGATAGTTCAACCAAGATACTCATAATATTAAAAGCAACAATATTTTAAGTGTGTTTTTGATGATTTCTCTTTAAATCAAACTTTTATTTGAAAATTAGAAGTTAAAAAAGTTAAATTTATAGGTCATAGTCAAATTTTCCAAGCATAGGTAAGTGTGTTTAAGCTAAAACGTATACACACCTCATGTGTCACAATGTTACGATCCATTTCAGACTCTTCTTGTAGCGTGACGCTACACACCTCTCCAGTAAGTTGAATATAAATTTTCATTTCTTCTTGTTGTGAGAAATCCATTATCTTATATACAATGTCCTGCGTAAAGTCAAACAAAAAATTTACATGACAAGAACTTTCGTTCAAGAAATTTTTTAAAAAGAAATTTGATTATGGGTATGATATAAACATTTTTTTAGTAATATTAAACTTTTATATTTTAAGAAATGGAGCTATGAGCCCCATAATAATTCTCTCATTATTTGTTGCTTAAATTTTTAATCACGAATCTACACAAGTTATTAACATCTTCCTTAACTTCAAATCCTCGAAGTAATTTGTTAACATGTTGGAGATGAAAAAACAGTAAAAGTTTAAAGGCAACGGTAACCAAGAATTGAATGCACTAGAAGGAAATGTAGGATAGAATGGTTAGGATCTTCCCTATTCAAATAAAAGGGAAAAAATAGTGATAATTGGACGAAAACACAAATAGAACTTTGATGTGTCACATGAATTGATAGCAATACCTTATTTATCTCAAGAAACACAAAATAGTTACTTATAAAAAACATAAGCTTATTTTATCATTAGAAAGTCAATTAATTTTTGTACTTTGGGTATTTTATTTCATCCTTGAATATTTTTTCATCAATTTATTATTGATGTATCAACCCAAATACATAACAAGGAAGCCAACAAAAAGTTAAATATAGAAATAAATTAATTTCTTCTATTTTCTCTCATATGAAATTCAAAACTCAAACTATTTGCAGAACAACAAAATATCATATAGGTTAATCTAAGATCTGCAAATCATGCTACAGAAAATGCATATTTTACCTCCCCAGCGTTCACACAGATTAACTTTGTACCAGCTACACCTGACAACCATCAAGAAAACTCAATAATTACTAACTATAGTAATAAAGTTTTAAAAAATTATATAAAAAAGTATATAAGTAAATCTTCCCAATTTATAAAAAACAATTAAGTCATAGATATCACGATTCAACGAAATTTGAACAGCGTTAACATCAACAGAAGACAATTGGGGATCCATAGAATAGAAAATTTGTTTTAGCTAATTTTCAACTAAAGAACTTTTTGAGAGGAAGAAAGTTATCATTTGAGTTTACTACTTAATTAGTTACATTTGACCAATCAGTTCAATTAGATTTTGTAAATATAAATGCTTTAACTGTTTTCACAAACAGTCCCTTATATTACTGATACTTTATTTTTGCCTATACTTATTTTTCAAAAACAGTTTTACAAATCAAGTATAATAGAACATTGATATGTTTAGATTATTGCACGAGATTATTTTAAATGAGTTTATGTTTTATGTCTAACTTGTAAATTTTTTCGCTCTCTCCATGACAATAAAAACTAAATATACAAGGTATAAAGTAATCTCTTCTAAAATTTGATTACTTTAAAGAGATAAGTGTCAAAAACACACCTAAACTAACTATTGAAAGTTTGAGTTTCATATCTAAACTATCACTTTTTAATTTGAAAAACACACCCCTTTCTCTTATATCATTCTCATCATGGTGTGTGTGATACACTCTCTCTTTTATTTTAAACAATTTCCACATCACAGTATCACACTCCACATAGACAACATTTAATATTGACAATATAACTTTGAAATGTATGTAAAAATACAATTAAACTTTGTATACAAGAATACAATTACTTCTATGGGAATTTCTATAATGGACAACCGTCAGGTAAAAGCTATTGTGATGATATGTTTTTTCTCACACTACCAAGGTCGTCATATACCTTGCCGAGGGTACAGAATTTGAACTACTAAGTGGATCCACTAGTCTATGCTTAAAAGCACTAAGAAATTATCCAAAAAGTCTGACCCTCTTCTACCCATGGTGGCTACATGGTTTATGGGGGCTGTGAGTTTTTGGAACTCTTTCTAATATCGCTGCTCAATACTACTCCCAAAATATGATGATGATTCTTATGGTTTAAAAACATAATTCTTTGTGATTTGAGATAATTGCTCAAAGGTTGGCTCAAAGTCCATCTTTGTAACCTTCTTTAAATGTGAATACATTTTAAATCATTGGGAATTCATAGTCCCCATATACTCTTTGAAGAAATTAACTTCAATATTTACTCTTTTCTCAACTTGAACTTTGTCTTAAAAACAAGTTAAAATATTTGGAAAAGCCTTTTGAAAAACTCTAAAAACTCTT